GCCCAGGAGTTGGGAGGTTGCTGTGAGCGTGATGCCACGGCACTCTACCCAGGGGGACAGCTTGAGGCTTTGTCTAAAAAAAAAAAAAAAAAAAAAGAAAAAGAAAATGTACAAAGAGATTAATGTTGTTTTCATGCCTGCTAACACAACATCAATTCTACAGCCCATGGATCAAGAAGTAATTCTGTTTTCAAGTCTTTTTTTTTCTTTTGAGACAGAGCCTTAAGCTGTCGACCTGGGTAGAGTGCAGTGGCATGACAGCTCACAGCAACCTCCAACTCCTGGGCTCAAGTGAGTCTCCTGCCACTGCCTCCCAAGTAGCTGGGACTATAGGCACCTGCCACAACGCTTGGCTATTTTTTGGTTGCAGCCATCATTGTTGTTTGGCAGGCCCGGGCTGGATTCAAACCCATTGGCTCAGGTGTATGTGGCTGGCGTCTTAGCCACTTGAGCCACAGGCGCCGAGTCTGTTTTCAGGTCTTAAGAAATACATTTAGTAATGTGATAGCTGCCATAGATAGTCCTCTGATGGATCTAGGGAAAGTAAAACCTTCTGGAAAAGAATTCATCATTCTGGATGCCATTAAGAACATCAGCAATTCATGGAAGAAGGTCAAAATATCAACATTAACAGGAATTGATTTCAACTCTCATGGATGACTTTGAGGAGTTCAAGACTTCTGTAGAGTAACTACAGATGTAATGAAAATAGTTAAGAAAACCAGAATTAGTAGGGAAGCCTGAAGATGTAACTGAATTGTTGCAATCTCATGATAAAACTTGAATGGATGAGGAGTTGCTTTTTATGAATAAGCAAAGAAAGTGGTTTCTTAAGATGGAATCTATTCCTGGTGAAAATGCTGTGAACATTGTTGAAATGACAATAAAGGATTTAGAATATCATATAAAGTTAGTTGATAAAGCAGCAGCAGAGTGTGAGACAACTGATTCCAATTTTGAAAGAAGTTCTACTGTGGATAAAATGCTATAAAACAGCATTGTATGCTACAGAGAAATCTTTTTGAAAGAAAGAGACAATCAAAGCAGCACAATCTTTTGTGAAAGCAAAAGTCAATTGAAGCAGCAAACTTCATTTTTGTCTTTTTTTAATTTTTAAAGTTAAATTAAAAAATTTTTTTTCCTACATAGACAGGATTTCTTTTTTTTTTTTTT